AGTACATGTTATAATAAATGCATGCATATATTCAAGAAATATCCATGAAGTTTGGGTACGGGAAAGTGTCGGGTACGTGTCCGATACGGGTACGGCTTCATTATAGAAGTACCCGGGTAACATAGATGTCAGATATGCATGCGTGAAGAACTGTGCAAAAATATTATCATTTAGCTGCTTGTAGAAATTTCTTTATATCTAGATGACAAAAATATCAAACTTAAGATGCAACATATAATCCATTGAAGCTTACACGTTCAAAGCTGGTAGTATCATGTATTCTGGATTGAGCTATAGGCCGAAACATAGTATTAGGAACTTGAGGCAATTTATTTTGGCATATTCCATGTGTCCAATTTTGTCTAATATGTTTCATCTTGTATTTGCTTGGAATGTATTTATTTTCCTGCAGCTGAAACTGTTCTATTGGCTTTCCAAAACTACATCTTGATGCTAGGCACAACCGTCATGGTTCCTTCTGTTCTTGTCCCTTTGATGGGTGGAAATGATGTGAGTGCAAGGTCCTTTTGATTCTCCATATCATTTCATTAATATAATTTATTTCTCATCTATCTTCTCGTACATATTTTTCTCAGGGCGATAAGGTTCGGGTCATACAAACTTTATTATTCGTATCTGGCATCAATACGCTTTTACAAGCACTATTTGGAACTCGCTTGCCTACCATCGTTGGTGGTTCTTTTGCTTATATTATACCAATCCTTTACATCATACGTGACTCATCATTGCAGCGGATTCCTGATCCACATGAAGTAAGTTCACATTATCTTTTCCTTTTCCTTTGTTGTTGTTGTTGTTATACTTAAGCATCAGCTCAATGCAAATGGCTACCTCATTCTTTTAGTATTATGTGTTTTAGCTTTCTAGTCAATTATAAGAATCCCAAGATAACATGAGCCATCTATTTATCTCTGACTTGCAGAGATTTATACACACCATGCGAGCTATTCAAGGAGCACTAATTATAGCATCGAGTTTACAAATTATACTTGGTTATAGTCAACTATGGGGAATTTTTTCGAGGTAAACTTTTAATGAGTAGTATCCTGGTTGATTGTAGAGGTTGACTTTTTTCCGTATATCATCTTTCTTAGTTTTGCAAGATCTTCTCAGGTTTTTTAGTCCTCTTGGTATGGCTCCTGTCATAGGATTGGTTGGTCTGGGGCTATTTCAACGAGGTTTTCCTGTGGTATAATAACCATTCTTGTTTAGCTTGCTCAAATTTATATATTGTCGTTTTTCTTAAAATATATAGATATGCACACTGATCTTTACTCCTTAGGTCGGAAATTGCGTGGAAATTGGCCTACCAATGCTTTTGTTGGTCATTGGTCTATCACAGGTACTTTTTTTGGGAACTAGTTCTATGTTTAATTAATTATTTTCATTAACGGAAAGACCCCCCCCCTCTTATATGCAGTACTTGAAGCATTACCGACCGTTAAGGGACATTCCCATTTTCGAACGTTTTCCCCTGCTCATATGTATTACTATTGTTTGGCTATATTCTGTAATCCTAACGGCTGGGGGTGCATATAGACACAGACCCATGAGAACACAAAATAATTGCAGAACTGATCGAGCAAACCTTATATCCTCAGCTCCTTGGTTAAGTATCTATAGCACATGCTTAATCTATATGGTACTTAGTTATATGGGTCTTCTTACAATGTAATCGTGCTTTTCACAGGTTCAAATTTCCTTATCCATTGCAATGGGGTGCACCAACATTTGATGCTGGCCATTCATTTGCCATGATGGCTGCCGTGCTTGTATCTTTGACTGAGGTAACTTCTAACATTATGATTTTCTTCTTTCCCAGAAATTTTATTTTACTCATTTTTCTTTTTTTATTTTGCAGTCAACTGCCGCATACAAGGCGGCATCACGCCTAGCAATTGCCACTCCTCCTCCTGCTTATGTTTTGAGCCGTGGTATTGGCTGGCAGGTCAGTTTGTTACTTTGTTTACATGTTCCTTTAAGTGACTCTCTTTTTCTATCTCATTCTAAGATATAGCAAGTTTAGTTCAACTATATGTTGTGGGAATCTTTACTTCACCAACATTGAAAACAGGTTGTCTTTTAACTTTTTAGGTACGTTGCTTTTAATTGATGTATTCGCAAGATATCATCAAGGTCCTTTATTTTTTTTGGAATTTATCAGTGGGAGTCCCTGATGTTACCTCCGAAGCCTAGGTCTTTTTTACACACTTTCGTTGAAACTTATTGATGTGTCGGTGGTGTGGAGAGCATCTAGTCAGCAAAAAGTTTAGCAGAAGTATAAGTTTGTCCTACCATGGCACATACATGTTAACAAAATTTAACGGAAATTTGTTAAAAAGACCTATGATGATGACAGAGGTAATGTTGGGGACCTCAACTGATGACTTCAAACTATAGAGGACTCAAATGATATTTGAGTAATACATGAGAAACCTCCACTGAAGCTTTGCCACTTTATAAAGAGTTTTTTTATTGTTCATTTATTTGATTAATGCAGGGGATAGGAGTGTTATTGGATGGACTATTTGGAACGGGAACAGGCTCAACTGT